GTGACAGGATTCTTGCACATCTTCCAGTTGCATTGTGTCGCATGCCCAGTCTTTCGTTCTGTACAAAGTGGCAACCATTGCATATGAGGTGCCATAGAGCGCAGAATTGGAAAAACCATTGATGCCATCAACGGAGAGGACACCTTACACATCAAGGCAATGCTTGCGCAATATGCTTACCGCGCCGACGACGACGACGACGACTACTACTACTACTACTTCAACTACTACGACCACAACAAAGACTACGACCACGACTACACCTGCTGCTACTGCTGCTGCTACTACTGCTGCTACACCTCCGCTGCTGCTACTGCTGCTCCTACCACTGCTGCTGCTACTGCTGCTACTACTCCTCCTACTACTCCTCTTCCTCCTGCTCCTCCTCCTCCCCCTCCTTCTGCTCCTCCTCCTGCTGCTGTTGCTGTTGCTGCTGCTGTGCTGCTGCCACTGCTACTGCCACCACGACTGCTACGACGACAACCATGACGACCACGACGACAACAACTACATACTACACTGCACGCAAGATAGCTGTTCGAATCTCCGCGCACATGGCCTTCCCAGTCTGCAGTATCGTCTCCAAAACCGGTCCCAGCATATGCACGGGAAAGTGCGCCCAGTGCATCCTTGGAGATTCCCAAAAATCTGTGCAATGAGTGCTTCATGCTTTCAGTTGTATACTTGTCGCTGAGTTGCTCCCAGGTCAGGCGGAGCGGGCGGAGCAGCCAAAAGCTGCCTTTGGAAACCAAATCGCATAGGTATGTACATATCCTGAGATATCTATACATATATATATATATACGATGTTTCTTGCATCTGTCTTGATTCCATTCACTTTTGGCAACAACCACAACATGTGCACGAGGAGGCTGCTCTTGCTGAATCTCCAGCTCCTCCTGCACTGCCACGTTACGTGCAAGTGCACATGGCAGCAAGGAAAAAACATCCCAGTACAAAGTACCATTGCACTACTGTTGATCAAAACGACCAAACAGTACTCTTGGAGTGATGCCGCAGCCATGCGCCAAACATAATTACAGGCATAATAAATATAAACCTGAAAAGTGAGGAGACAGCCCTCGCAAACGCTTGGAGCAACGCGCTCGACTCAAGGTAGAAAGCCGGGCGTGCAACCTCTATTTCTTCACGAGCACTTGAGCCAAAGTGTGTTGGTTTCAGTACAGTATGCATTTTAACTGCAAGCCTTCAGGTCCTGCAAAACCCCCCACGCAAGCGCAGGCACCGGCATTGCACACACACACACCCACACCAATACGGAATGGACTCTCCCCCCGCACAGGGAGATTGATAAGCCAACTCGCTTGCTACACCCCGTTCCTCCAAGAAACGATTGAGATCTCTGACCGAGCGAGTCATATGGCCCCTCAAATGCGTAGATCTCGCGCCTATGTACGAAACCACTCCAACTTGGTGGCACGGCTCCTCAAGGATTCTCAAATAGGCATCTTTCTCTCCTGAACTATTGCGCCTTCAGTGGTGTCCAAACAGATACAGCAGGGTTTGGCATATTACCAGGGTGCCGTCGAGGTCTCAAAGCAACACACGGACACACGGGTCGATGACCTCTGTCAAGTTCGCTGCAGGTTGTGAAGCTGGTGCAGTTGCGTTGCCGTCATCCCTTTGCACTTCGGCAGTAGTTGTGTGGCCCACTTGAGGAGACTTAGAGGACGATGCTCGCAGACCGCTGTGACCTGTAGTTTGGGGCGTTTGGGGCACCGCTTCGGAGTGTATTCTCGTGAGTTGACTTTGGCTTAACTATGGCGACAACTCCTGCGCTTACGTTAGGCACACAAAGTCCCTCTCAGGAAAGGTGCCACAGCGCCACCGCAGACAACCAAGGCTCTTAACCTAGAAAGCCGGGCATGCAACTAGAAAGCTGGCGTGCATTTCTTCACAAGCACAAGCACTTGAGCCAAAGTGTGTTGGTTTCAGTACGCATTTCAATTCAAGAGGCTAAAACAAAAGATGTGAGAGCCTCTAACACTCCCGCACAGACTCGCTGATAGTATGCACTTCGTTTGCAAATTGAAATACAAATGCTCGAAGATGCATCTGCCATGTCCTACTTTGTCAAGGGTCTTATTGCTAAAGCCCGCTTTTCGGAGGTACCCTTTTTTTGCCAGACGGCCTCCAAACAAGGCGCAGAAGCACCAACAATAAAAACTCCTCGTTAAGGTCTTTTCTCAGAAACTTGGTGGCTAGGTGCCCTTTTTCCAAAGGTGCCCTTTCCAGCCCGGAGCCCTCAAACAACACAAAGGGGCGCCAAACCAGAAACGCAGCTTCTTTCCTTCTCAATGGCTCGACTCCAGGAACTAAAACGAAAATACTGTAGATATCTGTGGATTAATATGTTATCACTGGAACCGGAAGATTATATATGCAAAAAAAGGCTTCAACTTCAACCGTTGTGGCATCACTCGCATCACCGAGGGCGTCATAGCGCAACCTTTTGCCGACCAATGTTTTTGCTCTCCCCCTGCACTCTTATGCGCATAATGCGCGCAAATACACAAGATCCTTTCGAAAGCAGCTTTGGGAAACCTTTAGAATCTGAGTCGAAGTTTTGAAACATTCTATAGTTTGCTCAAGGCTTCTGCGACTGCCCTCTCGAACTGCGCCTGGTGCACTCGACGTTCTTGCAGGCTAGGAGTCGGAAGGGTCGAGTCCTGTCATGGCACTTTGCAATTGTGGAATCTCGATCACAATGCCATGATGGGGCTCCCGCCAAACAATCTGGCTGGCGCCTTGCATTTTGACGGCTGCTTGCTAACAACGAATGCCTGCCATGCGCTTCGGCAGCTGGTTTTACCAATAGCCGGCTTCGATCATGGCAGCTGGAGCTGCTATCGATCCTTCTTGTCCAGAGAGGGCAAGAAGCGGTCAACAGTCAAGCTCCACAAAAGGAAGGTGCCCACGAAAATGGAAGAACATGCTCCGTAGAGCCCTCCCATGCCATAGTCATTAAGAACACTGATGCCCACTGCTGGAGTGACCACCCTGGCTGCCGAGAAAATGCAATGTTCCATCCCAATGAGGGTGCCCTTCATGTCCTCAGGAACAAGCTGTGTGTTCTCTGCCGTAATGCTGGTTGACAAGCTGTACTGGAAGGTCGCCAAAATGAGAGCAATGCTTGTGAAGCAGCTCTTCTGCGCCAGCAGCGGCAGCGCCAACGGCATTGAGTTCAGCAAGGATTGAAGTGCATAGCCACCTGCCATTGCCAGCACACAATTTCGGACAACACTCCTTGGTGCACCGCCCATGATTCTGGTCACAGGACCCAGAAGCACCGCATTTGCTACCGCGCCAAAAGCGAATTGAGCAGACATGAACAATCCCAGGTCTGCCTCTGCAAATCCCAGTTGGTTCTTCAGGACAAGGTTTTGCGTTGAAGATGCCATAGAATTGGCAGTGGAGGTGATGAGCTTCACCATGCTCAGAAAGCCTGCCACTCGCAAAACAGTAGATATGCGAGAATGCCAAGGCTGAAATGGCGTGGGAGGCTTGAGATCAGCCTGCTGTGCGTCGGGCACTCCCAACTTCTGATCATTTTGAACGGTAACCGCAGTAGCAGGTGGCAGCATCAAACTGGCAGCTGCAGCCACAAGAGATCCGATCATCGCTAGCTTTGCACTGAAAAAGTAGTTTCCTTTGGCTCCTAAAAGACCTCCACAGTAGGGTCCAACCACTCCCCCGATAGTATAGGCGGTTGTCAGTCGCCCCAAGGCTCGCACTCGATCGGGACCTGGGCTAGTGAGTTGACTCACAGCCGTCTGGGCACAAAGGAAGCCGGCCATGCCAATGCCAGGAATCTTCGATATGTAAAGCATGCTCATACTGGAGGTGATGGACAAAAGATAATATGTGGCTGCACATGCCAAAAAGTTCAGTGAGAAGCCCACCCGCACACCGGCTTTGTCGAGGATGTGGCCAAAAAGTAGGGAAGCGAACATTTGTATCGCAGAGAACAAGGACTGCAAACGTCCGTACGACACACTCGCCTCAGAAGCCTTGTCCTCTCCAACCAACTGTTCAACAAGGAATGGTTCCAATGGCGACTGCAACTGGTAGCACAGAGCATAAAACACCACCAAGGCGTACACCAAAATGAGACCGAATTGAGACCTGCCTGCCTTGTCGTCTGTCACCGACATTCTGGCAAGCCAGCGTGCCGTGTGCAAGAAACACACGCCAAAATTGATGATGTTGAGAGCAAATGGCTGACAAAAGGGGTCACGCCCTAACAACGAAGCCGGTCGAAAAGGTAATGCATCATCAATGGTTTCCTGAATGGTGTATACAGTAATACATGCCGTCGTACATTACATCCATGGTCCTTTTATATAAGCTTAGCTCAGCGACAAACAAGCATGCAGTCCCTCCTGCAGCCTTTGCCTCACACGGAGCTGGCAGAAGGAAGGGTTCGAGAGGTTTGTCTCCGGCAATGCCCGACAAAAGCAAAGTATAAACTAAGCTGGAACAAAAATGTCATATGCTGTATCTGTATTGAATGTGAAAATTTCTTTCTCTCTCTCTCTCTATATATATATATATATCAATTATATCAACTTATGTAGGCACAATCCGCGTATGAACTGGCGTGGACCTGCGTCTGCAGCTGGCCCCCATGGCACGCACCAGTCATTAAAGCAGAACCAACCGTTTGTGACGTCGTTCTTCCACAACAAATCGAAATGGTCAAAGCCTACTGGGGAGTCTGATGCGAACTACTGTTGATTCATACCGGTCATGCTGATGATGTTATATAATTAGTGAGCTTTTTCTAGTTGCGGCAACCATGTTGCAGCAATCATTCCTCTGCCTTTGGTTCTGAATTGTTTTGCCGCTGTTTACGCGCAGCGCTTGAGCAGAGAACATTCAGCAACCATGGGAACGCTCATGACTCATAAATCGCACAAGGCAAAACATATGTGCCTCTGAATGGCCCATAATGGCCCGACGCAAACTGAGCCCAACACTTCTCTGGAGGTACTCCAGTTGCAGCCTCTGGCACGAGTGCCCCCAAGTCGGTTCTGACAGACTGCCAGGACAAATGGTTTGTCATGGCCTCGATGCGAGACTTCACCTGCAAAAAAACAGTTCCCCCTCATATACACACTGCTTTTGCGCAACCCATCCAAGTCTGGAGCAACTTCGTCCTTCCAAAAAGACTTTAAAAAAGAAAACATCCGGCTGATGACCCTTTACTCATGTCATCTTTCAAAAAGGAAAATCCTATGCGTGGACCTGTTCATTTCACAACTTCATCACGGAAAAGCCTCCGCAAAGGTGTCAGTGGGCAAACAATCCAGCTCAACCTTCACAAATCTCTGCTCGGGCACTTTGATGGCGAAAAAACCTTTTTTCAAGAGTTCTGTGTGCGGGTGTGCATGTGTGTGTGCAACCCTTGGAATCATAGGGAGCCTGTTGTCTCTTGTTGAAAAATTGCAGGGGCCTTGTAGACGCATGGATGGCACTGGCTTACGATCTATGTCATCGTGGAAGCATACCTGCATCGATCGCTTCTGGGTGTGTGAGTGACAGCTGGAAGATCTCAACCTTTTGGCCCCCTGTTTTAACATGTTTTATTTGTTTTGCACATGCAACAAATTTGTATCTATATAATATAACTTTCATCGGTTCTTCACTTCGGCGGACAGGCACTTTAAGTTGTCGTTGTCAGTTTTCGCTTCGGGATTCGAAGGCAGACCGTGGCACGTTGGACTGCATTGCACACAGCCTGCTTTACTCAGGAATTTGTTTCACTTCGGTTTCTTCTGGGCAATTGGCGGCCTTAGTGCGAACTATTATCTCGAGTGTTGTGTGCGTGCCTATCGGGATCTCTGCAGAAATGCCAATAAAAAAGGATCTGAGCCTCAAAGCAACTGCAGTCACGATGATACATCTACACATCAGATGTGAAACTGAAGCACCAGTCCATTCTTCAAAAACTCCTGAAATGCCAAACTTTGTTGGAAACATAATGTTCACATATTGCATGTGCATACATACATGTATATATATATGTGTGTGTGTGTGTCCACACCTGTGCCTAAGGTTTTGAGTCGTAAAGGACGCTACTTGGGCCCCTGGTTTTGCTACTAAGGGCTCCTGGTATCGCTACTAACTTACAGTTTCTAAACGCAGAAAAAGAGGCAGGGGGACTGTCTACCAGAGTGACAGTCCAACGAAGAGGCTTCTGTGGCGGTACTGGTATCCGGAAGGGACGCATTCTGGACGTACCTGCAGTTTACTGGAGCAATTCCTCATTGGTCCCGCTCTTAACTAGAACAAGAAACCCCAAGAAATCCAGCCATTGCATCGGTTTGCAGTGAGCGGCTAATGCACTACAACAATTTGTTAAACATCTTCAACTTTCCAGACTTCCTCGCCCTTCGGTTTGCACTTTTCTTCCAGTCAAGGGAACTTCGTACTGATACTAGCTCTTGCGAGCAACCATCCAAGTGTGTTTCGCCACAGGGTCCCACCGAGGGCTGTGGTGTGATCCCCGTCAAGGGGCGCCGCATGTGCACAGACCCAGATCCTGGGGGAATCCTTCTGATATTCCGTTTTGCTTTCGTGAACTTCGTTCGATCGTCTCTGATTGGCAGCAAAGCACGATACCACTGATCTTATGCCGCAGGGCCTACTGTGATCAACACCTTGAGATTTTCTCACCAGAAACATGCGTCTACGTAATCATTTGTACAGTGCTCAGCAGCAGTCATCCTCGGCAGGGTCCAGCATCATACTTCAGGCACGACATGAGATTCTTTTGCCATGAATTGTTCATGCTCTTCGGTTCTTTCTCTCCTTTTGTTGCTTTTCGTTTCTTGAAGCCTTTCTTTAGGTTCCAGGTGTCTTTCAGAGAAGGGGTGCGCCGGCCCAAATCGGCTATACTTGAGAGGAAGGAGACACGAAAGGTAGGTTCGTAAATATATGTTCATATGCACTCTAAATGTTCAAACATATGCTCTCGAAATGTTCAAAAAGGTTCTTAGGGAAACAAACTTGCCCCATGGCTCAGATCATCGGTGAGCATTGAATCGGAACATCATAGGATTTGAACTATCCTGAAACCATAAGA